TACTGCTTTTTTTTTAAAACAAAAGGCAGCTTCTTTGGAAAACCTGAAAAACAATGAACCGTTACAAATTGTTTATAGAGTCAAGTCACCCTAAATTAGAAAAGCTGAAACTCAAGGGCTCCCGGCTGAGACGCACACACTGCAAACATCTTAAGCATGTGGACAGAAGTCAACCTCCAGGAAGTGGCCTCAGAATAATTCGGTGGCGCAGCACTAGTATCAAAAGGACACAGAGTATGCAAATGGGCTGACAGGCCCACGAAGGCCAGCGTCAGGACAGACCCAGGTACGCCAGGTCTGAGCGGTGCAGCTCTGGGCACCATGCCCCACACCACACCACAGTCTGAAACCTCACTAAATGCCAGAGAATTAGCCAGCTCTGGTGAGTCCACCACACTCTCTTGCCTAACAAGGTCACCTCTGACTGGTGACACAGGGAGAAGAAAGATCCAAGGCCTGAGCCCCATCCACATGCCATGCTGAGCCTCGACCCACAGCCAAAGGCCAGCTCCGCCTGCCCACAGTCCCTGCCTAGAGAGAGCTGCACTTTTCTCCTGAGAGGAGCTGCTCGTTGGAAGGCGGCCTCACGCACGCCTCCTCCGTTCTAGCATGCCAATTTGAAAAGCAGTTCAATAACAAAAACCACCAGAGCTCGTGATACAAAACACCATGCACCTGCCCCAAGCGGCCCTATCTCCATCGCTGTGTCTCTTCAGCATGTCAGGGGGGCTCTGATCGCTGGCCACACTGCACGATCAACATACCGGACGTTGCAGATAAAGGCAATGCCGCCGTAAGCATTCCTCTGCAGCTGCCTCCACTGGTCACTCTTCTCAGGCCATGTCGCGTCATTACCGGTGAGTACGCCCACATCAGCTGTAGCGGAGCAGGAGTGCCTCCACAGCGGGGCTTTCCCGTGCCTCCGGTAGCATGCCACGTTTTTCGGGCCACTTGGGTGGAGCCACAGTCCCTGGTCTTTGCTTCCTCAACCATCACCCGAGGCTCGCAGCCTGGCAGGACACCAGGACAGGCGGCAGAGGTGGACTTCAGGCCCCACGTAGTTTGCCAACCTCTCCTGCATGGCATGCCCTGTGAATGAAGGTGTGAAGTCAGAGGGCATAGATGCAGGGTTCTTCGACTCGGATGCACATGGGTTGGGACAGACTCTGTGGTAACCTGTGTGCTTGATTTCTTTTTCATTTTACATACACCAGTTACATGGTAAATGGAAGGAGCATTGGTGGCCCACTGGTTACAGTGCTTGACATCTACCTGAAATGTCGGCATGGAACCCAGCAGCAGCTTCACAGCCTGTTGGGGTGCAGTTGAAGGGGGGCCCTGGTGATGTGCGCCCCTCAAGATGACAACTTTGGCAACTCTATAAAATCCTCTGCCACCCAGCAGATTCCTACTCATAGCGACCTACATGGACTTGCTGAGAGTCCGTCTTTATGGGAGCAGACGGTACGTACTCTCCTTGTCTGGCAGGATTGAAGCTCTGCCTGCCCTCAACACTCAACCCACAGTGCCACCAGGGCTCCTTAGGAAACCCTAGGTTCACTGCAGACCTCAATCAACTCAAATGGCATTGCCACCATCACGACAACGCGAACTTTGTGTTTCACCTTTGAGGAGTCGCCGGGCTGTTTTCCAGACCTGTCTCAGCTATGCTGCCTTCCTCCAAGCCGAGTATGAAGTGTCAGGCATCTGGGCATTCTCCACTGCGCTCCCAGGGACGCGTTTGCTGCGGGAGGGCCGTGGAAGGGCTTGCTCACTCACTCGCTGACGTTGGCAGATCCTTCTGCCTATGGGCTGCCCAGGAAAAAAGACCTGGCGATCTGCTCCCAGAAATATTTCAAACCCAAACAGTCCACTTCGACTCATAGGGAGCGTGTGGGACAGAGCGGAACTGCTCCTTAGGCTCTCAGAGCCTGCAGCTCATTGCACGGAGAAGCAGCTGGTATGTGTGAACGAAGAAAATGGCAGGGAACATGCAAAGTCTTTCCCCCGCGGCTTCACCAGACTAGATTACTCCCTAGGAAAACCCCATAGGGCCGTTCTCCTCTGTCACACGGGGTTGCTATGAGCTGGAAGTGACTGGATGGCAATGGATTCGGGTTGGGTTTGGAATCTTTGCTGGGCAGATCACCAGGTCGTTCTCCTGAGGATGTGCTTTGTGGTTTGAGGTCTGGGTGGTGGCCCTTCAGGTCTGGACTCAGAGAATTTTGGAAACCAGAGAACCTCAGGCCTGGCTCCCTACACAGGCAGGCATGATCCCCCCCACACCGCACCGCCCCCCCACCCCACCCCATGCAGGCACCACCTCACATACTAGCTGAGCTGCAAATCGGAGCCCTTATTCTGTACACCCCCAGCCCCACCAACCCCTTTCTCAAAACACACAGCTACTGCCTTCAGTGTGGAGTCTGACTCCTAGGGACCCCACAAGAACGGGCAGAACTGCCCCATAGGGTCTCCAAGGCTGCAAATCTTTCTGAAAGCAGATGGCCACACCTTTCCTCTGCTGAGCCAAAGAAGCCCCACCCATGGCAACAAGAAGTACTGACCGGCAACAGTGAACTCTACTGCAGAGCTTGTGCCTTGAAGGGGCAGCAGACCCTCGGTCATTGGACTCAGCTCAGGACAGGGATCCACCACCTTGACCACCTGTGGTGACACCAGCCTCCCCAGCCAATGGAGCCTCCAGAACCCACTGGACGTGGTCTACATGGCAGGGCCATTCCTAGTATGACCCAAAGTATCTTCATGCTGCTTTTTGACTTAATGGTCAAATGCCTGGTTTGTAACCTAAGCGCTGGCAACTGGAACCCACAGGACTAGGATGTGGGAGAGACATGCCTGGTGACCTGATCCTGTAAAGATTAAAGCCCCCCCCCCCAAAAAAAAAAAAACAAACAGCAAACGAACAACCACTACTGCCCTCCACTTCATTCTGACTCAAAGAGTGTGTTAGTCCTGGCAGAATAGAGAAACAAATTTGTAGACACTCATATAAGAAAGAGCTTTATATACAAGAGCAATTGAATATTGAGAAAACATCCCAGCCCAGTCCAGATCAAGTCCATAAGTCCGATATTAGCCCTTATGTCTGATACCAATCTATAAAGTCCTCTTCAGACTCACGAAATGCATGCAATGAAGCAGAATGCAGGAAGATCACAGGCCACTGGGTGGGAAATCTTGTGGATCCAGTGGCAGTAGAAGCATCTCAGCACTCGCAGGAGTCTCCACATGGCTCCTCCAGTTCCCAGAGCACAGGGTCTATCAGCATAGAGCCATGTGTCTTGTCAGTAGAGCATCTCTCAGGGAGTGAGCAGAGAGAGTCTGTGTCTCCCACCTCCAATGAGGAAAAACAGGAGTTCCCAGAATCTTCAGGAGAAGGCCATGCCCACACAGAGGTCTCATTGACTATGACCGGATTGACGGACTAGACTACCCCCTTCCCTCATAATTCTCTCAAGTTCCAACACTACAGCTTGAGGATCCTTGAGACATGCCACACTGCTGGTGCATACATTGCTTGAGTTTGAGGCTGGTGGATCCTGTAGCCATGCTTGAGTTCGAGATTCCATCAGGCCTGCTTCCCTAAGCTCCCAACCTCCTGACGGTTGCTGACACATCCTGCTGTCTGCTGCTGGTGGGAAGACTCTGGTTCCTTGACCTTGAACCCAGCAGCCCACATGAGTTGAAGGACTTCTAGTGTATTAATTGTTCCATGAAAATGAGTTGAACTGACCCCTGTACACTGTTGTGTGGACTAATTAGATGTTACATTCCTTCTTGCTGTATACACCTTTCTTACATGTATATAATCACAAGTGTCCTGGTTTTGTTTCTCTAGAGAACCCTAACACAACTAGTACCACGAATGGTTCTAGAGAAACATGGTCATAAATATGGGTTTCCTAAATTGGTTCTCCTGCTTGATTAGGCCTAATCATAGTGAGAATGCTGCCTCTACCCCTAAAAGCATGAATAACTGACACCATCACTAGAGAGGGTGATGTTAATCCATGGTGTGAAGTGGCAAAGCTAATATCCACAGTATCACCACTAATAGATGAAGTGCTGGTGAGAGAAGAGGCTCTGGTGATTCTGTGTTTGGTTTATTTCTAGCAGTTTTGTCAGGATGAGAAGTATAGGGAAGCTAATTGGCTGGTCCTCTGTACAATGGAAAATGTGATTAAGGAAAGGGATAATCTCAGAAGCACGTATCAAGTGATGAATAACAGACCTAAAAGCTTCCGCCTGTGCTACAAAGAAGAGCCTTCTCTCCTCTAGTCATAGAACTGACATTGCCAAAACCCAAATCCAGTCTTATCATACAAGTAGCTATATTACAATGCCAGCTGAATTGTAGGACTAGAACAGTATCTGATATTAAAGTAAGGGCATTAATCAGAAAGAATTGGGACCCTGAAGCATAGGATGGGAATATATGGGCTGATGATCCAGAAGAGGATATTGAGCCCCTAGCGTCAAATGAGCCACCCCAGTCAATAGATCCACCCCTCCCACCTGACGGGATTAATCCCCTATCAGTAAAAGGCCTTACACCTGAGCAGATTAACCAAACTGTTCAAGCTGAAATGCCACGTGGGGTTCCATCTGGATAACAACTTGGGATGGAGCCAGATGAAATGAAGTCTCTTTGCCATTGTTTGGCCTTTTCTTAGCAATGTCCCTCTAAACCAGTGGTTCTCAACCTTCCTAATGCCGCGACCCTTTAATACAGTTCCTCGTGTTTTGGTGACCCCTCACCATAAAATTATTTTTGTTGCTAATTCATAACTGTAATTTTGCTACTGTTAAGAATCGGGCCACCCCTGTAAAAGGGTCGTTCGACCCCAAAAGGGGTCACGACCCACAGGTTGAGGACCACTGCTCTAAACCCTTCTAATCCCATTTGGCATAGACATGCACAAAACAACAAATATACAGAGAAACCATAACTTTATTGAAAATATAATCACATGCTCTGAAAAATATGGGTACTAACTTCAATACTCTTAGCAGGAATTTGGAGCACTACTTTCTAAAGATAAGCGAAGAAGAATTTGCATCAGAAATTATTTTGGAAAAATTGTCGCAGAGACCAAACTTTAGATATCAGGGTTGCTAAATGAATTGCAACAGATCAAGGTCAGGACAATGGGGACTGGGGCAGAGGTGATGGAAGGTGGCAGTTGGAAGGCAATCAAGGGCAAGGGAAGCAAGGGAGTCACGGGAGGCAAGCAAGTCACAGGAGGCAAGGGAGGTATGGGAGTCTCGGGAGGAAGTGGTGGGATAGGTGACACTGGTGGGGGTGGCATCAGAAAATTCAATCTCCAATCTGGCTCTGGAGCAAACATGGCATTGCTGTTTCCATTGACGCCCATCATGGAGGGCTGGCCCTGGGCCACAGGGCCCATGTTTCTGTGCACCAATGTCTTCTGGTATCTTCTCCATCTGGTTCTCCTATTCTTAAACCAGCCCTTCAAGCAGAGGGGGTGGGGATAAGGATGGTTTAGTCTATTGAACAGTTAATGTCATACTAGGAAGAAAGTAAAACAACCTGCAACTCTAGATGGCATTGTGATCTTAAAGTACATCAGGGGAATAGAATTTCTTATTGCTAAAACATCATAGGGACGCTAACAGTGCACCCCTCCCTTCAGCCCACCCTTAGTGAACTTCTATTAAATGCCAAGATCTGGAGTAGATTCAATGCTTGGTTTCTCTTTCCACATCGTTTACTCTCATGAGCTACATATTCATTATGACTGCCTGAGCAAATGAAAACAAGCATTTAAATCAACACGAATACAAATCTAGCCTGAATTGGACCCATCCTCCCCCACCAATAAACCAGTTCCACAAAACCCTCCACCTGGTGATAGAGCCACAAGCATACAAAAAGATACCTTTGACACATTGGAAATATCTCGATGTATTATATATACCATATACACTCGAGTGTAAGCTGGACTGAATATCAGCTGAGGCACCTAATTTTACCACAGAATCTACATAAAAAATGTGCTGAAAAACTCGGCTTACACATGAGTATATAGATACATATGTTTGTGTGTGTGTGTGTGTGTGTGTGTGTGTGTGTGTGTAATGTATTGGTGTTGAATGTGTGGGGTTTTCTCCATGGCAGATGATTTTGGCTGTATCCAATTCTCTACCATTTCACTCTTCTTAAGTCAGTGGAACTTTTTTGTTTTAACTGTGAATTAGGTGGGGTTTACATTTTAGATCAATTTTGTGTTCAGCAGTTTAAACTACTTGTCAAACTAGGTCGATGGAACTGTTCTACAGATTGTGTTTGTTTTGCTTTTTAGGCCAGTTTCCTAAACATGCAACACCCCCACCCCCACCCCCGCCCATCTCCATTGTCTGTCTGAGCAAATGGGTTGAGGTTGACCCAGCAGAGTATCCTGGACCATTTCCAGTGAAGGTGGCTACTCTCTACACTGCGTTCCCAAAGACTTGAAAACAACAGCAGGAGGACCAGGCATTAAGGCTTTGAAGTGAATCCGATCCACCCATTAGTTCCAGTTGCATTAAACATTCCCAAGACAATCATAGTGTGTTCCGTGTGTGAATTATTCCCTTGCCCGATGTCTACTGATTTATAAGTTCACTCTGACTGGTTTCAGATATAATACATAGTGAAGTTACAGATGAACCCTTTTATTCCGTACTCCCTCCGTGCAGTAATCCGAAAACCTTCTAGGTCACACGGACAGCAATGTGACTCCAGAGTCTTCCTTCAAGGATACTGGGGTAAAGAGATTTGAACTGTTTTTGAAAGGATGAGCATACAAATAGATATAAACTGACATAATAGATGAAATGATTTAGTATGACACTTCATACATAGATATGTCGGTATGTGTGAATGTATATACACATGAGGGATAAGGAATCCCGGTGGTGTAATGGATTCCACATCAGGCTTTAGCAGTTTGAAACCACGTGCCACTCCGCACAAAGAGATGCGGTTTTCTATGACCGTCAAGAGTGACAGTGTAGGCAACTGACAGGGGCAGTTCTACCTTGTCCTATGGGGTCGCTAGAAGTTAAAATGGACTCCATGGCAGGGAGGTTGAGGAGGTTGCTTTTGTTTGCTTGCTGAGGTGGCTCCCAAAGTCCATGGGGGAAATCCCACTATTTTTCATTCTATTTTCTCACAAATTGTTGGGAGCCCCTGCGTGTGTGTGTGTGTGTGTGTGTGTGTGTGTGTGTGTGTGTGTGAAATGTAATACTAGAATATATCATTTTATATATTATATAACTTTCTATAATACGTGTATAAATATGTGTATGTCATTTTGCACAATGAATAAAAGAAATGGTTCATCAGGAGTCCGTTTGATTTCTCTTCCTTTAGAAGAGCATGGTCCCCTGGGTCACAGGTCATTTCCAAAATGAGCTGCAGTTTGGTTATCCATTGCTCATCACTGAAGCCCCCAAAGTCCTAAACTGTTTTTGCCAGACGCAGAAAAGGCCAAGCGACACCCCCATTTGCAAGAGGCCAGGGCACAGCTGCCACACGGCCCACACTGGCTGCGCCACCAAATCACGTTTCTCGGATTGACTGACCTGCACACGGGATTCGCTCACGTTCATGCGGCTTGCCAGCTCCGCTCTAGGAGGGGGAAACCGGACATGCTCAGTTCCATATTCGAAGACGTCTCTCTAACCATGCCCAACCCACACCTTGTTCCTCCCCATCCCCCCGGCCCGCCTCCTCCCCTCC